AGTCACTGGGGACTAAGAGAAGATGGGCCAAGAAGACCCTGCCACTGGAGTGAAAGGCTCCTGTCCACCCCACCTCACAAAGGGCCATGCTATGCTCTGGTGTCTCCTGGGTGGTCATCCTGGTGCATGCCACTGTCTAAATAAGATGCCACTTTCAAAGATTTTATTTATTTAGTATAGAGAAAGGAGAAGGGGGGAGAGGACAGGGAGAGAAACACTGATGTGTGAGAGAAACGGCCATCAGCTGCCTCCTGCGTGCACACACTCCCACTGGGGACCAGCCTGCAACCCAGGCATGTGCCCTGACAGGGAATAGAACCTGCAACCTTTCGGCCTGTGGGTGGACGCCCAACCCACTGAGCCACACCGGTCAGTGCAAGCTGTCACCTTTTAAGGGAGAAAGCAAAGGCTCCCTCCTGGACTAGGAGGAGCACCTCCTGTGGTTTCTCAGCTTGAAATCACAACAGGAAGAGACAGAGATGCAGCTGATTGTTTGTTCAAGGAGAAATCTGTGTGAGAAAAACGTGAGTGCTGTGGTCCCCCCAAATGCCACTTCCTAAGAAGATTAACCCCAGATCATCATTTCAACACCCATCTTGGTCTCCTTTGGAGATAACTGCTTGTTTAGTGAAAGAGAAATACTGAAAGGGTCGTCAGAGACCTTCTGGTGCGCTCTCGCTCCGGTGCCAAGAGGTGCTCGGTGCACAGCTCTGCCTGGACTGTCGAGAAGAAATTTTCATTTCAATATTCCACCAGAAGCCATTAGCACATCACTGTTGTCACGATTTCTTCACAGCTTCTTTAACGGATGATTTGCCATTGGAAATTGAGTTGTCTTAAAAGGGATTCTAAGTTCTCAAAGAAAACCTCGACAACTATATTTCTAGAACCACAACCATGAAAGTTCTGGTCTGTCCTCTGAGGACGAGACAGAAAAAAAAAGGCAGGAAGAAATGATGGGCAGAGGTTGTTTGCCACAGGAAAGAACGCTGGCTTGGGTAGAAATTCTGAGGCCCGGCTCTGACTCTCCACCACCCTGAAGCAGAGGGCTTCAAATAAAGCATTTAATCTTTGGACTTGCAGGAGGAGTCGGGTTAAATACCAATTTTGCTTCCTCTGCCTTCAAACATTCCAAGCATCGGATGCAAAACCAAAACACCGGAACTCAAACCCTGAACCACAAGTGAGGAGATTTCTCGTCCTGCTCTATCAGCATGCAATGTGACCTTGGGCAAGTCACAGGAAAAATAAAAAATAGCCAGCCCATTTTTTTTTTTACTCTCCGTGGAGCACTCACCAACTACAAGGAAGTCAGCCCTGGAAGCATTATCATACCAATTCCTCATAAGAACTTCACAAATATGTCTCATTATGATGTTCATTTTGAAGGGAAGGAAATTGAGTCTCAGGTAGGTTACACAAGATCACCCAGCCAGCAAGTGGTTGGGTTAAGTTTGAATCCGTGATGCCCATAATGCACCCTTGAGACTTTACGCAAGACAGAACTTGCCAGTGTGACCTCAGAAGATAGTTGGGAGATTACCTCCATCCATCCATCCAGCCAGCCAGCCAGTCATCCAGCCAGCCATGCATGCACAGTCAGTCTCTGGGGAAAAAAGCACGAAGCACTACAAAGACAGAGAGTGTGGTATTGTTTCCACTGAATCTGAGAAGAACCCTCAAGACATTTAGAGCAGCATCTCTTGAATGCAGTCCCAGGAGCCCCAGGGTCCATGAATGGGCTGCAAGCAGTGTGTGAACCCAGGAAACTGAATGCAAAACTGTTTGTGGGCATGTGTCCCATTTCTGGAGCAAAGGCCCATGGTTTTCACTGTACTCTCAGAGATACCTCTGACTCTCAAGAGTGTGAGAACCACTGGTCCAGAAAAATGGAACGGAAAACACCCTACTTGCAATATCGCATTTGTTCCTCGTAGCCACACCATGCAGTGGCTACCACTTTCTGCCAATGAATGGGTAAGAAAGCTGAGACTCAGACACCCAAAGAAACCTTCCCAAGGCCACACAATTAGTTGGATGGGTGCCATTGCTGGCTCCCTCATAGCTCTTGCATCCCAGGTACTTAATCTAAGGCAATTTATGTGGTGCTGTCCTGGCGAGTGCTAGTAGACCAAGAAGAGAACTATATCTAACGCTCGCCCAGTTAGACTTGGGGGAAAGACTTATATTTCAGGGCTGGGTTTTCTGCCTCTTCTGCTTAGAGGAACCAGCCTCAGAAGAAAACTTATGCGAAGTTCAAGAGGAAACTGACATTAAAATTGGCACCGTGATGGAGTGAGCACTCAGATAAAATACAGGACACTCAGTTCAGCTTGAATTTCAGCTAAACAATGAATAATGTTTAGCATAGGTATGTCCCTAATAATGCATAGAGCATATCTGTATACTGAAAAAGTATTCACTGTCTACCTGAAATTCAGATTGACCTGGGTGTCCTGTATTTTTATTTGCTGAGTGGTACACAGTGGAGGGACTGAGTGCATGATGATTAACTATACAGCATCTGAAGCCTGCACTACCTCTGAACTCTTGGTTATGTGAGGTCCTTGATTCCTGTGCTGTTCAAGCTGTCTAGAATTTCTGTCACCTGCACCCCAGTGCATGCTGTCTCATGCAGCAGGTCGGCGGTTCCAACCCCGGCAGGCAGGGTGCCGAGTGCAAGCTCACAGCACCACACTAAGCCTAGAGGGACAGAAACTCAGCGCCCCATTAAAGCCACATTAAAATCTACAAAGCCAGTGTTTAGGACACAAACTTGTTTTTTTGTTTTGTTTGTTTTGTTTTGTTTTTAGAGCTGTAACAATGCAGCTTGACAGACGTACTGGAATTCACCAGATTCTCCTCAGTCACTGTAAATTTTTTGTCAGAGTCATGGAATGTGAATTCATTTACACTGGAAAACTCCCTCATGAATACTAACACATTCTAAACTCATGGCAAAGATGACTGCTCACAGCCACCCAAACCACAAAAACAAAAGCACCTAGCAATGTCAGATGAAGGATCCCGATTTTCAGACATTAATAATAAGTTTCCATGTAATTTTGTTTAGAAAGTAAATCAGTTGGCTCCATGGAAAAATTTGACTTCAGATCAGACCTGAAGCATTGTGAAGCAATCGAATAAAAGAGCCAGGAGGTTATGGCAGAGAGTAGAACCAAATGACTGAATGGTAAGCACAGGACTGCATTGCTATTTAAGAATAAAGGTGTGCGTGTATGTGTACGTGTGTGTGTTGGGCATGCTGTTAACACAGCATCAAAAATCACAAGGTAATGAACCCAAGGGGTTTATATGCAGTGCCAGGTATATGATCAATGAACAAAAACAGGAGTTTGGATTAGCCATTACAGTTACAAAGAGACCAAACAAATCTGTCCTTACTGGCATCCAGCAGTTCTGAAGCTCTCCTCTGGCGCAGACTTCCCATAACACAGAACACACGGCATGAACATCGCCATCGCCCGGGTTCCCTTCACACCCATAAATGGCTTTACTCCAAGGTGTGTCGGTAGATAACAATCGTGAAGTTAAGGAAAGTTCTAACAAAGATATCTTTGGAAAAAGCAATATGTATGTATGTATGTATGTATGCAACTGTATGAAAAGAACTTTGATGTGCAGTATTCCTGGACGTGGTAATATGAAAATGTTAACTATCCCCCAATTAATCTATAAAGTTAACAAACCCTGAATCAAAATACCAACAGGTAGGGGTTTTGGTGGGGGTTGGGAGGATTTTATCAGGAGGACCTGATGAAATGTTTGTAAGTGTATCTTCCTGGAAAAGACGGGCCCAGGGAAGGAAGTGAGCCCAGACAGATGTTAAAAGCACTGTGAAGTAGAGCCAGAGTAACGTGGTGCGACCACAGGACTGTAGAGGAGGCTCAGAGGAGCACAGCCGGAAGTCCAGGAACGGATCCATGTGTACATACAAGGCTTTGTTCATTGAGAAAGTGGGCATCTGAAATCTGCAGGGAAAACTGAACCTGCCAACAAACACTATTAGCTACCTTAGGAGAAAAGAACATCAATGGCTTGTGAGTTTTGCCGGTAAGATGGCTTTTAAAAGTCTGAAGTGCCAGACGTGCGCCAATAGATGAATGGATAAAGAAGATGTAGTATGGATACAGAGGTGGATTACTGCTTGGGAATATGAAAAAAGTGAAACCTTACCATTTGCAACAACGTGGATGGACTTAGAGGGTCCTACGCTAAGTGAAATAAGTCAGAATGAGAAAGCCAAGTATCATGGGATTTCACTTACATGTGGAAATAAAAAAACAACAAGTGAGCAGATGAACTAAAACAAAAACAGACTCTCGGATGCAAAGACCAAACTGATGGTGGCCAGAGGAGAAGGGTTGGGGAGAAGTACAAACTTCTCCTGACGAAGTGAGCAAGTCACGGGAATGTAGCGCACAGCTCAGGGCGCACAGCCAATAACATCACAGTGACTCTGTGTGGGGACAGCGAGTCCTAGACCTACTGTGGCGGTCACGTCGCAAGGTATGCAAATGTTGAATCACCGCACCCGAAGCTAATAGAGTATTGTATGCTAACGATACTAGAGTATAAAGTATAAATAAAATATGAAATTTTAAAAATGTCTGCAGTGGCAGAAGATAAATAGCAGAAGAGTGCCCTTCACGGAAGAGAAAGCTGAAGTGTTATAACCACGAACCCTCAACTCACTCATGGTTTCCCAACAGCATTCCCAGCGAAGAAGGACAACGTGGTCACCTGGGGTGTCCTCTTCCACCCTGTTGGACCTCACCGGGCGTCCTTCACCCTCCACCCCGCCCCATCCCCTCTTGGCAGTCACAATATCCTGACCACCCACTCCCTCCAGTAGTACAGAAGCCTCTGGAAAATGAAAGATTTCTCTATACATTGTGGAACTCCCTGACCCCCCTAACTGCTGCAAGGCACCAGTGAAAACAATTCAAGAATTATCCAAGAGCAAGAATAAGTCTTACCTGTTTCCTCTTTTCAGGAGGAAGTGACGGATCTCCATCCTATGAAGAAACAAGGGCTACATTTTAGCTTTTTTAAAAAATGTGCTTAGATTCAGACCCTCCCAACTCCCACCCCCTACAACCAGAAATGTGCTAGACCAAGCTCAAATACACTTAAAAAATTAACTATAAACTGAACCAGAGTTGTTTTGGAAAAGTCTCTAAGACACAGGAGGCAAACACAAGGCCTACAGGCTGAATCCAGCCTTCCACCTTGTTTTACTTGGTCCAGCACCTTGTTTCTACCCAAGCTCCTTGCCCCTAGTTAAGGAGTAGTTACACTTATACAGCCCTAAAATTACACTCAGCCCTTTGAAGGCAGCCACGAGGCTGATGTGGCCCCTGGTGAAAACTCCTGCTCTAAGGGATCAGCTCCAACTAGGACCAAGCCTATATATTTTCTCAAACTATGTGAACCAGCCCTGGCTGGTGTGGCTCCGCTGGCTGGAGCATCATTCCTTCAAGTGAGAGGTCGCCTGTTGGATTCCTGGTCAGAGCCCATGCCTAGGCTGCAGCTTTGATCTCTGGTATCCATGCCTCTCTTTCTCCCTTCCCCTCTCTCTCACATGAAAATAACAACGGCAACAACAAAAACCCTTTAAAAATAAAATAAAAATAAAACGATGTGAACCGACAAACAAAAACAAAACAACTACATTTATCAAAACTATTTTTGAGCAGAGCCAAAACTTACACTTCATTTGGTCCGAGTTGAGTTCCTTTTTTAAACAGATCACTTGAGTTTTTTCTATGAATAGAATAATTCGAGGGGTGTGGAAGGGATAATGATCAAAATAAAAGAAAATTAACTGAGAACTTGCCGTCGTATCAGACTGTTTGTGTTTAAAGGATTCAATCCTCTCCCTTGCGGATCACCCAGGAATACAAATACCTCTGGAGAATGAGCAAATGTCACACGAGGGAGAGCACTGCTACCTGACACTGTCCGAGTATCCATCAACACTACTTTAACCTGAGGAATCTTTGTTTCTGGTCCAGGACAGAGCAGTGATCCCAGCACAGGCAGCTCATGTTAGCGACAGTGCCTGCGCTTAAACAGGCGGTTGTATCCATGAGGAAAAAAAAGGAGCAAGTATCCAAAATAGCACTGTGCTGTTGGTTTCCTCTATTTCCGTACAATGTATACCCTTAAAAGTCTTGCTCTATGAAACCCTAGAGAGAACCTAAATGCTCATGATAAGAGAAAGGTTAAAAAATTGTGGAAATATTACTATGCAACTGTTTTTAAAAAAGAACTAAACTTGTAAGTGTGGCCTCGAGAGGTGTCCAAAACAAAGAGTTGCACGAAAAGAGCAAGTTTTAGAACAGCATGCACGCAATGCTATCCGACCTCACTCTGGAGCAGGGGAACATCCTGCATCCAGCTGTCAGACCCAGGAGCCCCCTGAGACGTTCCACAGTGATGCAAGTCAACACCTCAACACTGTCGCCACCAGCCGGCCGCTGATGTCAACCGAGTCCATGAAATGGCATGAGACTGAAGAACCCAGTTTTCAATTCCATTTAATTCCAATTAATTTAAAATGGGATGTAAATAACCACATGTGGTTTCTGTATTAGACAGGGCAGATTTATAACACAAGTCTTCTTAAAAAACACTCCACATGAACAAATTAATAAGTAAACAGGCACACAAACACATACATATGTGAGCATGATTCATAGGTGCCCATGTGAGCAGTGGGGGGGGGGGGATGTGCACGTGACTAGCCTGTGGAATTGGGTCGTGGAGGAAATAGGGACGATGACTTCCACTTTTTAATTTTTCCACTTTGGAACTGTTTGAATTCAACCCCTTTATGAAGAAACAGCGTGTTGAAATGCCCTCTTTTCTATCTTAACGCGGGACCAGGCACGTCACTGCGACGTGATACGTACAATCAGCTCCCGGTGCTTCTTCTTCAGGGACTGGTGGCGCTCTCGCAGCTGATTGGCCATGAGTTTGTACTGGTCCCGCTCCTGCTGGCATGTGTCCAGCTCCTTGGAGAGGATCAGCAGGGCCTCCTTCTTGCTCTCCAGCTTCCTTTTGCACACCAGGTACTGCAAAATAAACCCCAGCGACTGGTCAAAACGTCAGCAGGCCTCCGAGTAACGCACCCTGCGGGGTTGGTTTTATGTTTTGTTCTGTTGCTTTTTTTTGTTTTTAGAGATCGTAGACCCAGACGCATCTGTCAGTAACTGACACGCACTGGAAGGCCGCGGCAATACCTGACCTACTTCCCTCACGACAGAGCCGAGATCTTGGATGTTCATGAACTCTGGCAAACTGGGGCTGATGAAATCATTTCCTTGGCAAATAAGTAAAATAGTAGAACACCTTTCAAGAGCTATATAGCCCAATAGGTAGATAGCTGGGCCCCAGTTTTTGTTTAAAAAGGACGTATATATCCAGGTAAGATTATGTACAATTTTCTTAAAATTTTACAAAATGATAGACACAGAAACACATTTAATAACACATTTGTACATTACTATTATCACTTGGTAGCGAAATAATTGGCATGCTTTTAAAATATTACCCTTTTTGCTTTTCTGCATTTTCTAAATTTTCTAGAACAAACCCATATGGCTTTTATGATTTAAAAAAAAACACAAAAATGCTATTAAAAATAATTTAGTTGAACCATAGATCTCTGCAATATCTTGCACCTGTCCAGGCAGCAGCAGACGTGCTCTCTCCCTCAAGAGTCGTCGTTCACCAGCTTGGCCAAGATTTGCACAACTTCTGTGTCTCTGGTGCAGCTCCTCCCACAGCGACCAATTTCATGAGCTCAGTATTTTAGCCACATTTTGAATTACCCCAAACATTCAGGTGCACCTCCCAGGAACTCTTTGTGCCTCCTTCCCCCCACCTCTCCACCTCTCCAGCACCACCCTCCCCTGACGGTCACCCACCACATGAGCCAGGGTGAGCCTCCGCCGGACTTCTTTATTTCTATTGGCTACGCTGCGCGGTCTGGTGCCGTTCGCATGTGTGAAATGTGGCAGGAAGTACCTTTTGAATTTGCCCCGTAAAAGACCAAATTCAGAGCGTTCATGAAAACAATTTATAGTTTCATTATACACTCTGACACCGGCACTTTGTCATTACGGACGCTCGCACAAAGCGGAGGGAATCAGCACTCCCGTGCCGCTGGAGCCAGGCCCTTCCAGGGACAAAAAGCATTACTCATATATAGTGCTTGCTCGGAACTGATTTTGTTAAGTTTCATTTCAAATAAATGAAAGGGGAAAAAGAGAGTTTTGTGCATTAGCACAATTTTTCCCCCTTAAAAAAAAAAGTAATTGCTTAGCCTCCAAAACAAAGGGGAAAGAAAAGCCATTCCGAGACGGATTTGTGTTCTAAGAGAAGACACTTCCACCTTGGGTGAATCTTATCCCTGGCAGTAATGAGGTTGGAACCCTGCCTTAAAACGTCCTGGATTTTAAGACTTTGACATCGTCTTCGTGGAGGCAAAATGGTTCTGTTGCCACAGTGATTTCTCGAGAGTCAAATCCCCAGTGAGTAAATATCAAAGGCAAGTGGCTCAGAAACCTCAGCTGCAACGTCCTACGGGAGGTATTGAGACTTCACAGGAAAAAAAAATACCGTTTACACACAATTGAACAGGCCTGCCCTTGTGCCTGCAGTTCCTTGCCCTGAATCAGCAGCCTCCATTGTCAGTGCTATTAGTATTGGTGTCACCAAGACAGCCACCTTTGTCCCTTCAGTTTGTCAGATCCAAACAGGAAGCCCCAAAGATACTCAGTGTCTTCCGACTCCAGGAAAGAAAACCCCAGTGGCATGGAGACATTGTAAGGGACAGTGGGCAAGTGGAGTTGCAACATCCGGTCTACTGATGGGAAACAGGTCAGGGCCACCACTACCTGCAAAGTACAAATTCAAGTTCCCTGACTTTGAACTGTGGACCGTGAGGATCCAAGAGCGGAGCCATCCCTCTCCCAGGGCCTGGCCCAAGTGAGGCCTCGGGAGCGGTGCGCCCTTCCTGTGGGTCTAAGGCACCTGGCAGAAACCAGGCACAGAGCCGCTGCCAAGACCCGGGGACCAGGATCGCCGCAGTCCAGTTCCCCTCAGGGCACGGAAAACAGGACGATTATGACTCTATGAAGGGTAAGAAAGCAAACGCATTCCGCGTAGAAGATGAAGCCACCCCACAAAGGGTGGTCTTCAGACGGCCGCTGCCGGGTTGCTCTTTCGTCTGCTCTGTATGGTCTAGAATTTCAAAAATCGTATTCCACGCCAATTGTTTCTATCAGTAGAACACATCTTAGGCTGAAACCTCATTTCTAAAATGGCTCAAAGTGGTGCTGCCCTGGCTCGAGGTGGGATACCTCCACCCCCCGGTAGCCCCTGTGCCCTGTGTGGCCACATCAACAAGGGGCCCTGGAAAAGACTGCTCTGTGCCACCTTGGGGTGCTGGTGAAAATGCAGATTCCACCCTGGGGGGTGTGGCTCAGTGGACTGAGTGTTGGACTCCCAACCAAGGGGTCAGTGGTTCCGTTCCCAGTCAGGGCACAAGCCTGGGTAGCGGGCCAGGTCCATAGTTGGGAACGTGCAAGAAGCAACCAATCAATGTATCTCTCACACATCAATGTTTCTCTCCCTCTTATTCTCCCTTCCTTCCCCTCTCACTAAAAATAAATAAACAAAATATTTTTTAAGCATGTAGATTCCCAGGCCTCAGCCCAGACCCCACTAAATCGGAGTCTCTGGTGACTGGCTCAGGAATTTTCAGTTAGCACACGGCACAGGTGATTCTCACGCCCATCTACACTTCGTGGTGTCTCAGGAGTTAGAACCGGCTACAGTAGTTCGGAAGGACTGAGAGGCCAGCAGCAACCCCCAAGTTCAGGGCCACAGAATGGTCTCAGAACCATCCTGGGGGTGTCTATGCCACCTTCCAGTGCTGGAGTGGTTCTAAACCAGCATCAGCATTTCCCTAACAGCTATCAATGTCGGTGTGCCCCCTACGCTCATTGCAGCATTATTGGCAATAGCCAAGACACGGAACAAACCAAAGCGTGCATCCAGGGAAGACGGGGTAAAGAAGGTGTGGTGCACACCACCGGGGAACACGACTCAGACGCACGGAGGGTGGACCATTGCTGTTTGCGACAACGTGGGCAGATCTCAAGGACCCTCTGCTAAGTGAAACAAGCGAGATGGGAAAGGAGAGAAATCACATGACTTCACTCATATGTGGGACTATACAACGAAAAAGTAACTAACAAAACAAACAAAAAAGTCACACATGCAGAAAGCAGAATCATGGTAACCAGAGGGAAAGGGGGGGTGGGGAAGGGCGAAATGGGTAAAAGGGTCAAATGTATGGTAACAGAAGGAAGAAGCTAGATTTTGAGTGGTGAGCCCACGAGAGTATACAGACATCGAATTGTATACCTGCAATTTCAATAATGTTATTAACCAACGTTACCTCACTGAAACCCAAGTATAAGCATGAACTACCAAATTTTTCGGACAGTAAGACGCACCTAGGGTTTAGAGGAGGAAAATAGGAAAAAAAAAATTGAAGCAGAAAGTGTGGTAAAATATTTAATAACATAAATAACATAGGCTGCCGCTGTCCCACCCCAGCAAGCCAGGTAAGCTACATTCGAACTATAAGATGCACCCCCATTTTCCTCTCAGATTTGGGGGGGGTGTCTTATAGTCCAAAAAATACAGTATATATCACTGTATCTGTCCAAACATCCTATACCTGCAGAGTCTCAATAAAACGACAATACGAGCCTCTGGGAGGTGTGTGCTGGGGGGGTGCTGGGGGTGGGGATGGCCTTTCTCACTCTCGTTCTACAGTGATGGTGGGCGAGTCCCTGTGATGGCAGCTGTTAGCCTGTCCCATTTCTTCTCTCTCAAACTGGGAATAAACAACAGAAACCTGGAAGGAAAGAAAACAGATGCCGAAGAGCCTCCTGTTGGAGCTCTCACCAACCAGCAAATTCAGGGGTTTGCCCCTCGGCTGATCATAACACAGAAAGCCGGGCCAGCCGAGTGCTCCGGACGTCTCAGCTCCTGAAGGAGGAGGAGTGGGTGTGGATGTGGGAGGCGGAGGACGGCAGAAAAGCTACCCGATGGGGCAGGGGGCCTCCATCCAGATGTAGGTCTAACAATGAGCTAATCGGCAGCTATTGGGACCCTGGGAAAACCACACACCACAAGGCACAAAGTAAGCACACACAGCCTGGGCCTCGGTTTCCACATTTGGAGTATGAGGGGTGTTCCCAGGGTGCCCTCCAACTGGAGGAACCCATAATTTTAACACCAGCACCCCATATCATTGGGGGCTGAAGGGTGTGAGGGAAAACACTGGGATGAGGGGCTCCTGTCAGGGAGGCGTGACTTCCTTGAAGCACCCGGAAAGTGCTTGCTCTGCTGAGTCGAGGACAGAGCCGGCTCCGTGATTCCGAAAGATCATCTAGGACAGTGGCGACAACGCCAGAGTCTCTCCGCAGCAGGGGGTTCAGCCGCCTGGTTGGGAGGGGTGCTCGGCTGCATTTACAAGAGTGAGAAAAGGGTAAATGTCTGTGTGATCAGCACGAGTGCCTCTTCTCCAGTATTTCCAGGTCCCCTTGACGTCCAGACAGGGGGAGGGACTGTCCTTCCCCACCACTTTGAAGGCAAAGCCATGTAACTCGCTTTACCCAATAAAGTGGGACTGGAGGGGATGTGAGAAACATACAGGGTGGGAGCACTTAAGAGTCAAGGTGAGAATCGCCAGGCTTTCTCGCCCCCCCCGCTGCTAGGTGAGCGCGTGTTGCTATGGAGGTGCTGTAGGAACAAATCAGCCTGGAGAGTGGAGCCAACACACAGACGAACTGCCCTGGAGAGTCACTGGGGTCCATGGAGAAATCTGTGTGATCCACAGATGAACATTCACGGTGTGAAGTTTCAGAGGTTTGCAGGGTGGTGGTGGTGGGGGGGGATGTTTGTTACCAGAGCATGACTGAGACCATCCTGACTGAACAGACCCTATCATAGAACGGGCAGCGGTGGAGGTTGTATATGCTCCTGCTCTGTG